TGTGCTTTACAAATAACAAGGAAGTTTCCCTTTTTTCTCTCCCCACCTCTCCTGCCCTCTCAACTCCACATGGCAATCCTTCAAAGAGCACAGACCATTGTGTTCTTGTGTTTACCACAAGGCATCTGGCTGCCATGAGGATGAGACCTGGTGAGCCAGGCAGGTGCAGAGAATCTGCGGAGGTCCAGGCTGGCTGGCCCACTGGAAGCGGGAGTGGCATGGCTGATGGCCTGCCCACTGTGCGCCAGTCCCCTGGCAGGGTATAATCCCATTTAATCCTGACAAGAGTTCCTATGAGGCAGGGACAGCCATCCCCAGTTTACAGATGAGAAACCTGAAGCTCGTACTAGACATGATCACCTGGCTGGTCAATGTCAGATCTGTAATTCAAACTCAGGTCTGCCTAGCCCCAAATGTGTCCTCTTCCATCATCATCACCATGGTGTCCCCAAAGCAAGAGCAGTTCAGAGTCAAGGGCAGGTCCCCAGATGGTCAGTCTTCTTCCTCAAAAGGCCAGCTTCCCACCAAACTGTTTCCGCACAAGGTCCACACTCGTCCTAGCAAACACCGAGGTGGGACTCTCCCCATCAGAAGGACCTGGGATGGGCCACGTATAGAGCTGCATCTTCCTCATGCCTCTCTCCCTTCTGGAGTCTGCAATGTATTGGATTTAATGAACCGGTTTACAGAACTCCCTCACCATTTGCCCTATAGGCCGAGAGGGAAGGGAAAGCACAGCAACGAAGCCCAGATTAACTGGAGCCCCCAGGGAAGTGGCTGCCTTGGTCAGGCCAGCTGAGGGCCAGCACAGAGCCAGGGACAAGTGTGGCAGTGTGGCTCAGGCAGCAGCTGGGCAGTTTGAGCCCAGACCCACAAGGCAGCCCACCTGGGCTTGTGTCAGAGTGCTGCCATGCCACCTACCCTCTGTATGATCTTGGGCAGGATCGCAACTTGTCTATGCTTCAGTCTGCTCAGTATGTAGTATGGGGAGGCAGAGCTAAACTAATTGCATCCCCATGGGAATGAAATGAGTTGATACTCACGCAATTTTGGAACAGTGTCTGATGCATGTGAGGGCTATGTAAGCGTTGGTTAAATCTTATATATACATATTTTAAAATATCCACATTTGGTTTCAGTTTTGAGTAATGCTATTAAAATCCTTCTATGTTGTTCACTTCCCTTTTTCTGCTCTGGAAGGTAGAGCACAAAAAAGCACTTCACTCCAGAAGTGGAATGTGGCAAATAATGTTCTGATTAACTAATGCTTCTCTGCACAGCCCTGATTTTATAAACCACATCTTTGTGAGGACTTCAAAGCCCTTTCCATTTGCTCACTTGTCTTGAGATAGGAATGTAACAATGAAGTGGTATGTCTGGGCTTTTAGAAAACACATCTGAACTTAGAATTTGAAATGGTCATGTGGCAGACGGGGATGACTCCCCCTTACTCAGAACACTGGAGGCACTGAGCAGGAAAAGCACTTCTGGTGTAAACCTCTGTCTCTGTATCTCTCTCCCCCTCTAGAGCTTATTCAGAGTTGAGAAAGACCTTAACTATCCTGTAACAGAACTTTGTAGATGAGGTAACCAAGGTTGAACAAGAAGACAGAAACCAGTGTTTCCACCATTTAAACCCACCACTAAGAATGGTACCAACTTTTTGGGTGTCTGGGTGGCTCAGTCAACTAAGCATCCAACTTTACCACTTCAGGTCAGGTTGTGATCTCGCAGTTCATGAGTTCAAACCCTGCACTGGAGTCTGCTGTTAGCACAGAGCCTGCTTCGAACCCTCTGTCCCCCTCTCTCTCTGCCCCTCCCTAACTCGTGTGCATGCTTGCACCCCTTCTCTCTCAAAAATAAACATTTTTTAAAATACCAACTTTTTACCAGTTTTGGCTCCAAATGACTGCCTTTTCCTTAAAAAATTAAATCTTTCTTTAACATTTTTATTTTGAGAGAGACAGAGACAGCACAAGTGGGGGAAGGGCAGCTAGAGAGGGAGAGAGAGAATCACAAGCAGGTTCTGCGCTGCCAGCACAGAGTCCAATGTGGGGCTCGAACCCATGAAGCCATGAGATCATGACCTGAGCCAAAACCAAGAGTTGGATGCTTAACCAACTGAGCCACCCAGGCATGCTAAATCTCTTTCTAAAAGATGAATATCTACTCCCCACTGAGACTTTAAAGGAATAGGCAACAGGCTATGAATACATTTACTTGTATTAACACAGAGTGTATGGCCAGTTTTATCCCCTGGTATCCCAGCCTACAAGAGAGGGAACACCCAGCTTAAGCTCATTTCACAGATTAGAAAAGACTGGCAAAAAATTTCTCCAGCAGAAGGCAACACTGAAGCTTTGCTCTCATGTAAGGAAAGGCAAGTCTTTGTCTTATATGGGCATCAGGCAGTCCCTGAGACAGATCTGGGAACTAGAGACAAGCACATGCACACCACCCCCATGAGGCCCTTTGGCATGAGATTAAGTCCTTGCAGGTGGACCATCAGACCCTGGGAGCCCAGGGACCAGCAGTTAACCAGCACAGGGGAGGCTAAACCAGAGTTCCTGGGTGGACATCTCAGTAAGCAGGTGAGCCATGGGCAGGATCCAGAAAGTAGATGACAGTTGGGCACCCTGTCAGCCCCAAAGCTGCTCGGCATCTAGAAGGTCTGGTGGACACAGCAGGGCCCAGCTAGGGCCTAAGGATCGAGTCAGGCCTTGTGTCTTAGAAGGACTCTAGAGAGCAAGGTTGGGCTCAGTCTTGGGAAAACTATGCTGTCAAGTAGGTTATGAAGGCAGGGTGTGAGATGCAGGAAACTGAGGTAATGACCCTGCATCTGGTCTCAGAACAAGGCAGAGGTCCAGCTGTGCAGCTCTCCACCAAGGTCAGCTCAGGACCAGGGCGTGGCTCACTTGATACTGAGCCCCTCTGTGCTCCTGAATCGGCCTTCTTGGATCTGCCACCATCATAGGTCTCCACTGGGCCTTCAGTGCATTCTGAGTGGTCCTATCTACATTACAGGAGGGTGGCAGGGCATGAGCCAGGTGCGAAGCTGATGTCTGGGTTCTTGGCTGAGCAAAATCATCGCAGGCTGGAAGCCTCCCCAGGGAGAGGAAAAGCATTCCTATGTGATCTCAGTCTCATCAAGGTACTAGAGCCTAGTTGCAGACAGATGCATACCTCAGGTCAGGAATCCCCAAGGGACTAATGGCAAAGAAAGCACATTGTATAGACTGCTAACTGGGGTAAAGGCACAGTGAGCCTATACTTGATGCAGCTGACTCTCCCCAAAAGAACACTAAAACAATTTTAGCTCTATCTCTGGAGTCCTTACCAATCTTCTCCTGATTCCATTCCTGCCCCTCTTCATTTATCTGTCCCCCATGCCCAATCTCAGTGTTTAGGTCCAAATGTCTTAATGTTACTAAGATTCATTCAAACTATTAAACTAATTAGCATTAAGATAGTAACATTTTATTCTTCCCACTTTTATTTACACATTTTGAGAGAATCACAGGGAACAGGAATCATCTCAACCAAAGGAATGAATATTTCATGGTAAAATTTCAGCTATGTGATACCTAGACAGGAAGAGGTTTTAAGGCAGAATAAAGCTGCCCTGCATCTATTCTGGCACCTCCAGTTCCTTTCGGGAAATCTTCTCTCCCTCATTATGCAAGCCAAGGGTTTATATCACATTAGGAATACCAGATGTGAGATATTCTCCTCTCTCACAAAAGTATGGCAGGAGGTAGGCACAAGGCCCCAGTAAACCGGTTGGACAAGTTGGTGGTCATTCATCACAGAGACAGCAGCATGCTGACCCTGTAGATCATGCCTTCTGCCCCTTCAGATGTCCTTTGGTTCCCACTGTACCCTCCCCTGGTCCCCCCACATTCCACTGATTCTGAGCCTTTTCCCCCCAAAGCCTTTTAAGTTAGCCAGTCTTTGCTGTTCACAAAGAACATGAATTCCCAAGTAAACTCCACAGCCACCTCCACACACAGTAACACCAGTGGTGGCTAGGGAAGACAGTTCACTGGCCCACTGGCCCTCCATGCACAGGCTGGAACTTGTACACCACACTACTCACCACCATAGGCCAATGTTGCCCACATTTCAGCAACTGGAAACAAGAGCCATTTGGGGAGAGCAGAAAACAGCATCTCATCTCCCAATGGCGACAGGATGGGATCATGTGCAGCCCTGACAGTGGGAGCACCCCCTCACATGACAGTCTTCCTCCTTCATCTTGCCATGTGCACACACTCATACATGCATATGAACACTCACAAGCCTGCACGTGGGTGCACGTACACACACTCGGCCAGCAGCCATCCTCCTAGCCTTCTCCAGGGAGAATCTCCCCAGGGAATACAGCAGGCCCAGGGTCCAGGTGGAGCCCGGGTGGTAAATGGAGAAAAAGAGAAGAAGGGATGAATCATGGTCATCTTCCTTCTCTAGTAGGACCCAGAAGACCAGATCCCTGCCTTCATAATCACATACCTTAAATAAACCAGGAGTCCCAGTGAGAAGGTATCACCTCATGCCACATAAGACCAATGGGCCACTTAATAGGACCACACAGACAACCTTAAAACAAAAATATACCCGAGGTGTCAAGATCAACTGGTCTCCTGTCCCTCCAGGTCCCCACAGGTACTTTCTTTCTCTTCAAGGTGGGGATCAACAGGCACTCGCACTGATAGGTAAGGGAAGGTAGAGGAGGATGGGTGAAGAAGGGCCCAGAAGGCTGAGCATAGCCGGGATGCAGAGACCCACCAAGTGTAAAACCACCTCCTAAAGGAGCTCCATCACCCACATCAAAGACACATAACAGATGGAGACACATGTGCACATGCGTGCATGTCCCCCCCACACACACACATACACACACATTCTCCAAGGCCCACCAGGACCCCAGGTAAGCAGCCAAGAGGCAGCACTGTGCCAAGGAAAAAAATAGCAGGAGAAGGCACACCGGAGGGAGGCAGAAGGCAAATTGCTTCCTAGTATGTTTATTGGAGCCTTGGCTAAGTATGAATACGGATCAGGAACCCCCTTCCACAGCCCAGTCAGCCTGACAGAGGCAGAGACACAGGGAGTCAATCTCCTTTTTTTCCCATTATAGACAACATTGTTAAAAAAAATAAACTTTACAATAATACATTTTCGCTCATCTGTTGGGGTATTATTTCGATAGTTTTGTTTCTTAAAAAAAGGAAAAAAGGGGAAACCACACAATATATGTATATGGATCTATATATACATATATGTTGAGAAAGGAGTCGTATTATGTACATACAGTTGGCGCTTGTCTGGGAAATGAGGAGAGAATGTGGGAAAAGAGGAACAGGGGGCCGAGAGGAGGAGAGAGCTGCGGCCAGTGAAGCACAGTGCCAGCAGGTGTCCCGCCATGTTCTTCTCTGCCCCTCTCCCTGGTGGGAGACCCACCAAATGAACCCACAAGAAACCAAAAGAGCCAATGACGGATCATTTCTCTTTGATTTCAAAATTCCTGCCACCAAGCAGGAAGCAGCATCCTTGAGCTGGTGCCCAAGCTTTGCTCCCTCTGCCCAAGGGGATGTCCCCAGAGGGCTGAGCTCCCAAGCCCCCTGGAGCTGGCCCCAGTACTCCCTCCATACCACAGTCGGAGGGCCTGGTACCACACCCTCCACAGGCATCACTGGGGGTTCTCAGTTCAGATGCAGACAGAGAGCACAAAACAAACTCCATGCTCGAAACCGAGTGGAGGTGCTGAGGTGCCCAGCTGGAACCCCAGCAGCCAGCCTGGCTGCTTTGCTGCCCGATGCCCTCTGCCAAGCCACCAGTGGGGATCCCTGGCCCCAGTTCACATCAGCACAGTTCCAGTCCCTCAGGCCACAGGGATGTCATCTTGGTCTTTTATGTCAGCGAGGTCCAGAGAAGAAAACACCAGGAGAAAACGAAGGGCATTTCTAGACCCTTGCACCCTCCTCAGCACTGGGTTTCCCTTGCCGAGGGACCTCTGGGCCAGCTCTCAGGCTGCCCGCCTACTTGTCTGTTTGGTTTAGAAAAACTTCTCCAGAGAAGAAATCTGGGAGGAGACAGGTTCAGAGACAAGGTGGGGAAAAATTTTTTTTGCAAGATGTGTGTGTGTGTGTGTGTGTGTGTGTGTGTGTGTGTGTGTGTGTTTCCATGTTGCCAGGCGGGTGTTCTCATCTGCGTAGTTTCCGGAAATCCCTCGACATGGGTCCCAGAGCCTACAAGGCCAGCTTCAGCATCAGGAAGGAGACAGCGGTCAAGGCAGCCGACGGTCTGGCTCTGCGGGGGCCTGAGTTAGGTTTGATCACCTTGTTACTCCCTGGGATGATATTGGTCGTGAGCTGCAGCCATGACACAAGGGGAGACAGAAGCAAAGAGCACAACAAAAGACAGAAAAACAAAGGAGTCAGTAGGGCTGGGATCAGGCAAAGGAAAGGACTCGAGAAGTAGAGTCCTTGAGCCCCTGCCCGCCCCATCCACCCAGGGGACCCTGCTCTGTGCTCACCCTCAGGTGGAGCTAGGCTTCCACAGAGCTGAGCTGAGCTGAGCCCCAGGCTCCAGGAGACTGGGCAGCAGTCCCCAGGGAAAAGGGTTGACACTGCCAAGTGAGGAAGAGGGTCTGTGGACACAGACCAGAGAGGAGGAGCATGGTACCTAAGGTCTCAAGAAGGAGCTCTCGGGGTCCACAGGCACCTGCTTCCTGAGAGGAGAGGAGGGAGAAGCTCTGTTCTACCTGTTCCTAAATGTCTTTGAATCTCCCTGCTCCATGAAGCTTCTTCCCTACACATCTCTGTCTGAGCACTCTCCTCTAGGAGCTTATACTTCTTTTCCTCTCCCTCTCTCTCTCTCTCTCTCTCTATATATATATATAGACACACTCTTTCTCTCTCTCTCTCTATATATATATATATATGTGAGAGTGTGTGTGTATGCACACACACACACACGCACATACATACATATAAATACCTACACACACTATATATGGAGTCATAGATACACTCCTGTTTTGGGGCTCCTTTTAGGAAGGGACTGTGTCTTTTCCCATCTCCCAATCTCCTCAATATCACAGAACCAGCACAGAGTAGGTACTCAAGACACTTGTCATAAAGAGTCAGGAGGGCTTAAGAGGGCTTCTGCTCAGAGCAGCTGTTTGTGTCTCACCCAAGGAGACAGCCAAGGCCCCTGGCTGCAGCCTCCGACCCTGCACCCCCAGTGCAGTGAGCACCCACCCAAGTCTAAGTGGGCCAGAAGCTCATGCGATGGGATCTGGGGGCTCAGAGTCTGAGACTCACCTAGGAAACACCCCCTTCTAGCCCAGTCCCCTGCAGCCATCCCCCACTCTGCCCTTCACTCACCTCTGTGAAGCACATGCTTAACTCTTTGGAGTTATTGGGTTTTAGCCCCTGTTCCTGTGGAAGAGAAGGTGCTAGTAAGGATGGGCTACCAGAGCTGGGTCTCTGGCCAAGCTTTGTCCCATGACTTGAATAAGACCAAAGAGTCCATGGCCCCACCATCCACCATTGCCATCATTAAGCACAAGGTTCACATGAAGAGTGCTGGCTCAATCCCGTGTAGCAAAAAGACCTGGTCCCTTTCTCACACCATCAGCACTTAGGTCCTGTCCCCCTTAGGCTCCTGGAGAAGGGATTCCTAACTCTGCTTTCAACTTATACCATGATAGAATAATTACAAGACATTTGCATGTTTGTCTACTATACTCAAAACTCCTCTTGACAGGGCAGGGACCATGGCTCATTTTCCTTGCACTAAGCAGTGTCTGGCTCATTAACACCAGCTCAGTAAATGCTTTACTAGATGCATGAAACCGTGACTCAATGAATGAATGCCATATATCAGAACCAGCATGCAAGTGCCAGCTCCAAAAAGCTCATAAGCCTTATCTGGGCTTGTGGGGAAGAGAACTGTAATTGATTAGTGATGTCTGTCACTGGTGCATGGTAGGAAGACATATGGCAATAGTGCCAGGCACTGGCCATTCCACCCTAAACAGATGTGGGCACCTGGGAGCTTGGTGGTCCGAGGTGATGAATGAGAAAGGAAGGCTGGCCTACTGATGATTCTAGGATTCTCTACTCCTGGCATAACCACTTGGATGCAGGACCAGAGGGTGAGCAAGAGGAAGTGTCCTTTGTTATCATCATAATAATGATCCATGGGAACCAGCTGGGGGACATGGTGTTTCTACCCTGGCTTCAAATGGCTTGGTTCCCAATGCACTTGTGGGGAAGCTCTGGCCACCATAAGCACCAGGAAGCCCAAGAAATTATTCCTAAATCACTGCTCTTGGCCAGAAGTATCAATAATCCCTTAAACATCATAGGCAATCTACCACCCTGGGCATCTGGTCAGCAAAACAAGGCCCCAGCTGTCACACAGAGGCCAGCCAAAATCCAAGTCACTCCCAATCATGGAGATATGACCACGGTGATGATGAGCACAACGGGAATGGAACCAGGGACCTGACCCAGGAAGATCTTGTTCAAGACCACAGTGCCCATGACTTCAGGTGCCAAGATCCAAGCCTACCATGCTACCCACCTTTGTCCCTGAAGAAGGGCCCTTTGGAACTCAAGGACTGGATTCTACTGCCACAGACTAAGTGCAGCTCCAGCCAGGCCTGTGGGAGGTCACTGCTGGACAGAGCCTGCCCACCCCATCCCAGGGGCTGCACTGTCACCACTATCTTCCATTCAACTGCCCTCATCTACACAATGCTCCCTCGGTCACCCCCCTGAGCAATTCACAGCACTTCTGATATCCTATGCCACAAGACCCAACACCCGCTTTTCCTGGCATTCTTTCCAGGTATCATGGGTTCCAGGTGTGGCAGGTCTCTGTCTCCAGGCCCATGTCCTCTTCCTGTGTATTCCCCTCCCCAGTGCCACTAAATATGGAACGTGTCTGTGTTGCATCAAACAGCCAGGATGAGTGTTCTCACCCCCACTTCAACCAAAGCAACTCTGATTTTATTTGTTCTAGATGTTGGAGCTATACACAAGAAGTATTTTAAAAAACAGCCTACTACTTAAAAATAAATCAGGTTTCAGAAAAGAACTAAACTAAGTGACCTCTAGGGCCTTGCAGTACAACTTTCTGTGATGGGTCCTCGACACGGGCCTGGCCACCGCTGGCTCTGGAAGGCTGAGCCCCAGGCCAAGTCACACAGAGAGAAGCCAGCAAAGCAGAGGAGCACCAGGACTTAGAATTAAAGCAGTGGGGTGGAGGGGAGATCTGAACACAGATCTCACCTGGAGCAGCTGGCTTATGGCTGGATTTTGCTCCTCAGAGTGAGCACACCTGACAGACTCCCCTTAGAAGAAGAGAGGAGAGGGGGCTGTTGGCAAATATTCAAGGAAAAAAGAGAGGGGGAGGAGCAGAGGAAAGGATCAAGAGAGGAAGGGAACAGAGAGAAAAAGGAGAGGCAGCACCCTAGGAGAGCACATGCAGAGAGTTTGGGGGTCTTGGGGGGAGCAGGGAGGACAGAGGGGAGAAGGGGGCAGGGGACAGAGAGGAAGGGAGGGGCCACAGGAGAAGGAGGGTAACAGGAGGAGAGGAAGAAGCAGAGGAGGAGCCTTCATCCTCTCATCTGACCCATATCAACAAGAGAAAGTGACACACACCCCTGGGCCAGCCCCAAGGCAATCCAATCCTTGCTTGCTGGTCTCTGACAGGTGCCACAGCGACTGTGGTGGGAGAAAAGGACTGGCCTCCATGAAGATCAGGGATAGGGCCTCTCCCTGTACCCCATGTGACCCACTGTATATCCAGCATCCACAGCATTCACCTATGTCCCTCTGCACTGATGACATGTCAGTCCAGCAGGCTCCAGGGCCACCAGCCACACACTGAATGTGTGCTGAATGCCCAGGTGACATCCTGAGCTTCTTCTCGCTGTCCAAAAGTACTTCCTTCAAGTGCTGTGAAATCTAGCTTACAGATTTTTATCCTCACAGACCCATGCAGCCTTTCCCTTTTAGATCAAAGGGTCTTAATTTTTGGTGTCCATCCCCACAGGACAATTCCCTGGATCCAAGGAAGAAGAGCCTGAGAGACCAGAGACCCGGGCTCAAGCCTTCTTTATCCAGTGTACCGGGAAAGTCACTTCATCTACTGGAACATCCATTCTCTCATCTATAAAATAGGGAATAGACAAACGCACATCACTGACCCACTGTGATGATTACATGAGACAGTGCACATGGCACAGCAAAGCTCCACACACCTGTAAGGGCTCCTCAATTCCACAAGGCACGAGGCTGAGCCAAGCTTAGTTTTGCATTCAAAGGCAGAGCCTATGAGAAATGCAGGAAGGGCCCAGGAAGGGGCTGTGAGGTGAAACCCAGGGTCAGCCTTAGCCTGGGGCTACCTCAGCCCTACCCCACAGCACATGGAGCAGTCTCTGCCCCAGCACCTGACTTCCAGCAGACACAGAGCAGACAGTGAAGGCTGCAGTAATCTCCCCAGTGGCAAACCTGAGACCCCCACACAGCTCCGGCCACACAGAGCAGTGCGGGGGTTTGCCCATCGGCTGACCTTTTCTGAAAGCAGCATATGGGCGAGGTGCAGAGAGAAGGTTGCACTACTTAATGGCAAAACCACCAGTGGCTCAGATTCACTGCCTCCCTCCCTCACCATTAACTTTCCCCCACTGCTCCCACAAGGGGTTCTAAAGATGAATGAGTCACAGCTCTGCTCACACCCTAATGAGACAAATAAACATTCACAGAGTCATCTCAGCACCGGTTAAGTAAATGGGAGCAGGAGAAGAGGCTGCTCCCTCCCCAAATCCCGCAGGTTGCAGGCTGCCCTCTGAGGCCATGCCCCCCTAAGGCCACCCACAATGCCCATCTAACCCAATTTTCTTGGACTCCAATGGAACAAGTTTATGGGAATAGAGGTGAGTTGCTCACCCCTGTCCTGCTTCCATCACTACTCTGAGACTCTCCTCCCTTCAAGGCAAGCTCAGGCACTGTTGGGTTAGTGTCCCAAAGGGCACAGGTCTGGACTGCAAGGATGGCAGGAGGCAGGGCTTTTAACAGCAAATCCATGTGACAGAAAGGTGGGTACGGGGGCTTTGTGTCCTTGGCTGTACTACAGAGGGCCTCCAGAAGTATGAAAGAAGCAGACGGCACTGGGGAACTTGAATGAGGGAAGGGGCACAGACACAGAGGAAGAAAGGCAGCAAAGGTAAGCTTCATCCTTCTAGAAATTTCTCCCAGAGGGGTTTTTGCCCTCTGGCAAAAGGAAGTTGAAAGAATTATTGTCTTCCTCTCTTCCTTGCCCACCTCTGTCTCCCAGTCCCTAAGCCAGGTCTGGCAGTCGTCCCAGGTCCTTGCTGACTTAGCCCAGCTGCTAGGGACGAAGCCCAGTGTTGCGTCCATGGGAAAACCGTGTCCCCTGCTTCTGGTCCTGGCCCCACCCCCAAATCTCAGTGTCCTCGGCAGCCTTCCTCCTGGCAGGCCCACCCAGTAACTCATTCCTCTTCCCCTCCGCTACCTGCCACCCCTGGCCCAACGCTTCCATCTTGCCTCCTATGACTATCGATTATGGCAAAGATCAAACACACCTGCAAGCACGTCTCCCTTGCCAATCAATCTCTACCTGCTGTCACAATCTTCCCAGATCACAGCGCTCATCTTCCCATCGGCACGTTCCCCAGTCCAAAGCCTTTGGTGGCCTCTCCAAAGCCCGTGTTTCAGTCTGCTCACCAGACTGCATTCCCATCCCTGTTCTCACCCAACCCAGGGCCTGCTCTTCCTCTAGACCAGGGCAGGCAAACATTTTCTGCAAAGGGCCAGGAAAGTTAGTATTTTAGGCAACTCTGCCTGTAGCACATGGAAAATATGTAAACAAGGGGGTGTGGCTGTATTCCAATAAAACCTGATTTATCCAAACAGGCAGCAGGCCAGATATGGCCAACAGATTCCCCTACTGGACCTGTTCTGTGCTATGCTGACTCCATGTCCTCACTCCCACGAGCCCCTCTGCCCACTCTACTCCAATTCCATGTCTCCACATACTCAGCAATCCCTGTTCTTCCAGGCCCAGCAGCAGGGTTTACTCTGCCCATGAGTCCTCTGTCCCCACTCCCAGTACAGAGCAGCCCTCCGTCCTCTGGGCCCCGTGTCACTTTATCCACCTTCCTAGGGTGCCAATCACTTCCTCCCCACCAATCATCTGAGTGTGCATCCTGTCCATCCTACCAGTATGGGACCAAGGTACTGGCCCTGGTGAGCTGTCAGCCTCAGAACCTGGAACAGAGAACATGCAGGAAGAATCTACACTGAGTAATGAATGAATGCACTGATGGGCAAATAAATGAATGACTATAAGGGAAGCCAGAAGAAGGGAAGAAAAGAAGGAATGCATTCAACTCATTCAAAGCTTTGAAACCTGCCATATTTGTATATCAGAACTACATGCCTGATAGACCTACAACACACTGACAGGCCTCTCAGTCCCCCACTCTGATGCCCACAGGCCTGCACACTGGGATGAGGAAGAGACGAAAGTGTCTGCAGGCTGCTGAGCCTACCGCAGGTGTGTTGAGGGGGGGCTGCATCAACCCCTCCAAATTCATTTCTAATTCCACCAGGTGTGATGGGTAGGATGAAGGGGGAAAGCAAAAACTGGCTAGTAGAGACCAAAAGAGCAAAGGGGGCTGTGTTGCCAGGGCTCTGCAGCCCTGGGAAAGGCGAAACCCCCGTTGATCTGATGGGTCCCTGCAAAGTGGCTCAGAGCAAACCACAGGAAATGCCAAGGACACTGAAACAAACCATGACCAGAGAAAGCAAGAGCCCACTGCCAGTCTCCCCACCACCCCCCTCACTGCACCACTGGTCATGTGACAAAAGAACCTTCTAACCAATCTTCCTGCATCCTCCATAGAAAGACCTCTCCACCTGCCTACCCTCATGGCATGCAGACAGCATCTGTGAGAAGGAGGTAAGCTGCACAAAGCTGTCTGCAAGCAATAAGGCACTCAGAACCCATTCTCGAATGGAGAGCAGGAAGTTCCAACAGACCCGATGAACCAGGAACTCTGGGTTCTTCCCTCAACCTGTCTAGAACACCTACTCAATGCCATGCACTGAGCACTGGGGTCCACCGGGCAACAAGGAGGGTGAGAGGCAGCCTCTGTCCGTCAGGGATGGAGCAGGGCACATCGTGATGGGGGCTCAAGTGAGGTAAAGCAGGAGCAGAGTCAGGGGAACACGCCAAAAGGGGAAACCAAACAGGATTCGCCAAGCAGAGAGAGGGACAGGCTCTTCACTCCGAGGACTGACCAGTGCACAGGCCAGCAACCTGCTCACTGCAGCCTACGCCATGGGACAGCCTGGCTGTGCGATGGGAGTTCAAGCCTGACCTGCCGCCTACAGATCAGGGAGGGAATTCACACAGGGGTGTGTTTACCTACAGATACAGGCAAGGCCAGAAGGGAGGGGGAGAGACGATTTTGCAGATATTGCCATGCTTTCTCCAAGTTTCAAACAGTTCCAGGAAGGTAAGGCTGCCTGAAGCGGTGACCACAGCCAGAAATGGAAACATGAGAGCAGGACTCAAAACAGCATCAAAGATGCCCAGACGCAGGCCAACTCAGGAGCCTGCTGGCTCCTGGCTCCTGGGTGGCTGAGACACCCAGGTTTTTGTGTAGCAGCTCTATGATGAGGAAAAGGGCTCCAGTTGAAGACCCCAAACCCCACCATGGGAAAGCCCTCTGGGGTAGCAGATCTAGGGAAGGACCCAGTGCAATACAGCCAGAGGAAACTGTTCGGGAGCTGGGGGCTGGGGGCTCTGAACAAATTACTGTCCTTACCAAGCTTCCATACTTTGGGGCTTGAGAAGGAGATGTCAAAAGGCCCTCTTGTCCTAATGTTCAATCACTTATGTGGGATCCCCAACTCGCTGCCATCTCTGGGTCAGTGAAGGGGGTCTCTAAGGCTTTCCCAAGGGCTTGGGCCTATTAATGGGGAGGAGGACAGAGGTAATAAGTAAAGACCTTGCTTTTCTCTCCAGGGGGTGTGTAGGGTGCACAGCCTCCTCTACCCTCCCTCCCACCCTGGCCTCAGCTTCCTGTCTCTGCCCTCACTCCCCTGAGTGGAGTAAAGACTCCCTTCTGTAGTTGTAGGTTGCTGTCACTCCCAAGGCCCCACAAAGGCCACCATGGAGCCCCTTCCAGCCCAGCAGAGCTGAGGGAGAGGGTGTGGGGACAAACCACCCATGCCAGCCTTTAGCCAGGCTGAGGGCAGGGATGAGGATTTATTCCCCCTTGCACTCCCAGCATCAGGCATAGAGTAGTAGGTTCTCACCAAACAGGTTGTGATTAAAACAGAATCAGGCCATTCCCCTTCAGTTTCAGTGAGAAGGAACCAGGAAGATGGTTGGCAGGCCCCCTCTGAGGGTCTACATCTCTTCTTTTTCTCTTGGAATGGCCAATCTCAGCTGTCCCGCCCAGAGTGACACAGTCAGTAGACTGTGAGTGGGCAGTCCCTGAGGCCAGGCCTGAGGAGCCCCCTGCTAGTCAGCCTCCCCAGCTCGGGCCCCTGCATTCAGAGTGCTCCTCTGTCTGCAAGCACTTTCACGTGGTGAATCTGAAGAAAACCAGGCTGGGGCTAAAAGAAACCAGGCAACAGTTTTAGCAAAATGCCGAGGGAATTGAGGGAAAATTTTTAAAAAGGAGTCAGAGCCACCAGGCACTGAGTGGCTGAATGGGCTGCAGTGAGGGCAAGAGACCACGCCCTTGAACTCTTCCACACCCACGGTGAGTCAAGCTACAGTAAGAGCCTCAGGAAAGATCCACAGCCACCTGCTGAATCAGCACTTCCCTTTGTAAGCCTGCCCCGAGGAGCTCAGGGAGGCTGGTGGTGCCCCAAGGGACATGTGGACCATGCCAGAGCATGGTCCCCTGACAGGTGGCCCAGCCCTGACCGCCGAGCTGCCTGCCACTCTAGCATGAAATTGAGCTGGCAACTGTCTGTGCAGCGGGCCCCCAAGCCCCTGCCCACAGCCACTCAAGCGTGGCTAGTGTAATTAGGAGCTGCCCGAGGGTGACACGGACTCCTCAGCTGGGATCTGGAGGAGCAGCCTGATGGAGGGGCGCAGGGCATGGAAGGGCCCATGCTGAGCCTAACAGGAGGATACCTGGAGGTCAGCTGTTCAGCACAGAGAAGCCCACCAGGGAGGGCGGGGGGGGGGGGGGTAGGTTTCCCAACCAGGACAGGCACCCATCCCAGCTCCTGTGGTACAATGGGTCCCTGCTCAAGTCCTCATCCTGACACCAGGAATGCCCACTGGGTTTTTTTCCAGCCTTACCGAGGTTGTAATTGACCATCAAACATTGCATGTATTCACAGTGTACAACCTGATGACCCAATATATGGGCACACACACCGTGAAATATTTACCACATGCCAATCAACATATTTCATAATACGATACTGTCAGCTACAGTCACATCGCTGTATGCCAGGTCTCAGAACTGCCTTGTTGTACACAAGTAAAACTTTGTAGCAGATGTGCACTGTTGATCCCTCGAGCATGACACCCAACTTAGCCTGGCGTCCTCACTGCCTCGCACATAGCCAGGCCTTGATAACCCTGCCCCCTCACCCACTCAGGCTGTGCCCCCTGCTGCCCCCAACCTTCTTGGCAATTCTAGGCCCAACTCCCTCACTGTACCCCAACACCCCCAACCTTGCTGTTCCCTCCTTCCTCTGCTCCGATACTCTGCATGGGGTCAGTCCTCTTTTACACTCTTTGTTCTAGGGGTGTGTGTGTATGAGTGTGAGAAAGTGTGTATGTGAGTATGCATGTGGGTGTGAGTGTATGAGTGAGTGTATTATGTGAGAGTATGTGAATGTGAGAGTTGTGGGTGTGTTGTGAGTGAGTGTGGGTGTGTGTATATATGTATGTACGTGTGTGTGTGAGTGGCTGTACTGTGTGTGTGTATATGTATCAGTGTATGTATGTATGTGAGTGTAAGAGTGTATAGGTGTGGGGGGGGTGTGGTGTGTGGGGGTGTATTATGTGGGTGAGTGGGTGTATTGTGGGTGAGTGTGTGTATGTGTGTGAGTGTGTGTGTGTGTGTGTGTTCTGACTAGATCCAACTGCCTAAGCAAAGAATCTACTGTAGCAAATGGCATGATGGCAGGAGGGTAGCCCAACAGAGAGAAAAAGCTGAGTGGGGAGCCCTAGGATGTGCCCCCATAGTGCCACATGTGTCCCCTATTGTGGCACTGAACCCAGTCCATGCCTGATGCTTGTTGAATTGTTTGACCCTGAACAAGACCGTAAGGACCACAAAACCCAGGACACTGTCAGTTTTACTCATCAAAGTCTCCCTCACATCTCACATAAGTCCTGGCACATAACGCATACATAATACATGTTCGATGACTAGGTGGATGGACAGATGGACAAACAAATGAACATCATGGATTTTGGGGTCTGACGTAGGTTTGAAATCTTATTCTACCACTAACTGGCTGTATGACCTTGGGTATGTTACCTAAACTTCTTCTTGGGTCAGTTTCCTGTGTATAATACATGAAGACCAATACCTCACTTTGTAAAAATTCAGTGAAGTAGGCAGAGAATCTGCTAGCATAACACCTGGTAATTAGCAGATGGTTAGTATGTGTTAACCATTCCATTTCCCTGGCACCCCGTGTTCTGTAGCACAATCCAGTGCTTCCTACTTGTCAGGTGAATGCCTAGGGAATGTAGGCACAAAAAAACTAGCCCCCAACAGCTGTTCCCTGCCTCTTGGGTCCTGACCCAAGGGCAAGAACTTGCCAGTCCCATCCCTGATCCCCAGTGAGCTAATTTCCCACACCCACCTCTCATGTCCTGGTGTTTCTCTATGCCTTCAGCCTGCCCTCCCCAGTTGCAGAGCCGTGTCCCCTCACCTGGACAGATGTGCAGGTGGTGATGACGCTGGTCCCCAGGCTGGTGCTATCACTGAGGTCATCTGGCAAAGAAGGTGTTTTCTCCACCCGAGGGGCCTGCGTGGCCTGGAATGAGGGGCTTTTAGGGGAGAGGTTCACATCCGTGCCGTTGCCAAAGGCCTGGATGGCATTCCCTGTGGGGGTGAGAGCAGGTAGGCACAGAGAAATCAGGGGCTGCCTCCATAATTTCTTCCCCTCACATCCTAATGCTGCCTTCCCTGTAACAGCCCAGAGCCGGGGACAGGGTGTGGCTTGTCCAAACTTAATTTCTCTGGAGCCCCCTTTCAGACACTACTGACATCTCACATGGAGAGAAGAAAATAGCAAGAGGGAGGTTGCAAAAGACAAACAAAAGAAAGAAATGTGGAGCCCAAATGTCCATCGAAAGCTAAGTGACTTAAGTTGGTCAGAGAAAGACAAATACCATATGATTTCACTCATGTGAAATTTAAGAAACAAAACAGATGAACACAGAAGAAAAAAAAGAGACAGGCAAACCATGAAAGAGACTCTTAACGATACAGAACAAACTATGGGTTGATGGAGGGAAGTGTATGGGAAATGGGTGATGGGTACTAAGAAGGGCACTTGTTGGGATGACCACTGGGTGTTGTATGTAAGTGATGATTCACTGAATTCTACTCCTGAAACCAACATTACATTATATGTTAACTAACTGGAATTTAAATAAAAACTTGAAACATAAAAAAAAAAAAAAGAAAAAGAAATGCAGAAGAGGAAGGGAAGAGGAGAAGTGGGGTGGGGAGCCCGGAAGGAGGCAGCAGGCCGGGCCCAGGGCGGTGATCACTGGCTTCTCTGTACCTTCCTGTGCTGCAGACCACCCTCCACTTCAAAGCGTCCCCCACACCAATCCCCCCATCCCCACCCCTGCCCCACCCCTGCCCCACCCTCCAACCCCCACACAGGTTCTCCTGGCTCCTCTGCCACCTCAGATGCTTCCAGGTCCTGCCAATGGCATTCCAAGAGCCCCAGACTCAGCCATCCTCCACGGTGGCCTCACCTACTCCCACACCATCAACACCAGTGCACTGAAGACTAAATAATGGGACTTCTTGGACCAAACTGTTCCCAAGACATGACCCTGGAACCAAGTGCCTCCAGAAATCTCCACCTCCAAGTCCCAGATGCACCTCAAGTTCATCACGTCTCCGCCCCAACAAGGCATCGCTCCCTCCTGTTGCATCACTGCTTTCTGCCCATGTTTACAGTCTTGCAGAGGTCATCTCTCCCCACCCAAGCCCCCCACCATGCTTCCATGACCACCCACTTGCTGGCAGTTGAGCCCATCGCCTAAAGATCTGTGCACTCCATCTCTCCTCTCTCCTGCCCACCACTGCTCCAGCTCAGTCACACCGGCCTCTTTGGGAATAGCTGCTCCCCCACTTCTGAGTACACTTGTGTTGGATCACCTGTCAGAACCACAGCCCCAACCCTCCACACCAGAACCAGAGAACAGGCCATCTGCATGCTGGTCTGCCCACAATGCCACCTGCTGACTCCCCTTCAGTGACCTGCACCCCCACCTCCACCACCTATAGGACCATAAGATCCTAACACTTTTAGGACTGCAAGGCCCTTCATGAGGAGGATTCCCTCTCCCTGTCCAGATAACCCTCAGCGTCCTCATGCTCTACAGCAAGACTCCATAGTCCACAGTTCCTGCAAGCCGCCCTGCCAAGGGTGGACCGGTGTGCCCTCTCTGCCTCGTCAGCTGACAAATGCCCACTCTCCCTCAAGGGGCCAGCCTCTGAGGAGCTTTCAGGGCCTCCTCCTCCAGGCTGACTGGTATCACTAGTCTGGGCTCCTAAAGTGCCCTGTACTGACTTCCACCCTAGTATCACTCACTCCGTACTGTGGTCACAGTGACCCCCCTGACAGTGTGCCTCCATCAGATTCCACACTGCTCAATGGCAGGCACCATGGCTCATCTCTCTGAATCCTCAGTGCCATACAAAAAGGGAGGATGGACTGATGGATGGAAGGAAGAAAGGACAGAAGGAAGGCAGGAGATTTTCAAGTGGGTGGGTGGCAAGAGTGTCAGACTGAAAAGAGCGAGGCAGGCAGACTGTGGCTAACCTCTCTCTCTCTAGCCTTTAATTAGCAGTTTGGGACTTGCAAGTCACCAATTCTAATGGGAAACAAATCCTTAAGGGGACAAGTGACAGATGCTGAGATCCTCATCATACGGCTGTCCCTGAAGGAACCTGGCTAAAGCTCTCAGGATAACAGACCAGAAATCTTCGACCTTGGCCTGACATAGGCTCAAATCCTCCGGTGGTAAACTCAGGCTGGCCTACTGACTATTCAGTAGGATGAGTCCCCAAGAGCACAAAACCCAAGTTCTCCGTGGGTCACTGGGGAAGCCCTGTAGATTATCACTGGCCATCCCAATGGAGAGAGAAGGGCATGGCAAAGGCAGGCCTCCAGGGCCCCTCTGGGAGCATGGGGAGGGCCTGCTCGGACTTACGGAGGCACGGGTTCTCGGTGAAGTCCCTCAGGAACTTCTCACACTCCTCCTCCATGTTCCCACTCCCACGACAACTGCACCAGGGGGACACCACGATGCCAGTGGGGTTGGAGTCCACGTAGTTGGGTGTCATATCAAACCCTGGGCAGGGAGAAAGGGAAGGCAAAGGAAAGAGGAATAGTGAGGCCTTCTCTTTGGGCCCCAGGCCCCAGACACAACAGAGAAGAGGCTGGGGAACTCTCCTTTCCTCCCACCTGCCCCCTCAAACACACATACATCCCAACTCAAACAAACAGACCGTTACTATCCCAGCGACCATGCAGTCATGGCCACAGGGAGCAGAGGGGTATGGACACTGAGGAAAGAGCAAGATAGCAGAGGAGCTATCCCGGAGTCACCACCCTGCCCCCTGCTTCCCTGGGCCTTTGCCTTCTTCACCAGCAAGCAGAACCTGTGTTCGAGAGCCAGGGAGACTAAGGTTCACATCCTGGGTTTGGATCCCAGTGCCAACATTTACTAGCAAGGGGAACTTGTGCAAGTGACTTGACCTCTCTAAGCCTCAGTTTTACCATTTGTAGAATAGAGATAGCAACTCCCCCCTAGTAAGTACTGCTATGAGAATTAAAATAAAACAGTTGGTGTAAACTGCTCAGGGCGGTACCTGGAAAGTCCAAACCATGTAATAAATGTTGCTTTCTCATTTCAAAAGCCTTATAAGGCCCTTGGGGCCCTCCTCCCCCCATGATAAAAGGTTGCCTTCTCCTCTGGTTTCCCACCACAGAGAAAAGCAAGCTCAGGCTGTCCACTCTCTGGCCCTGAGCCAGGCCCCCTGCCCATGGGGATCGGGCAGCCAGGAGCCACCAAGAGCCCAGGTGCGCGGGGGCGGCTTACCAATCATGCCAGCGTAGGAGCCCAGACACGCCTGGTAATTGTCGGCAGGGCAGCTGGTGAGCGTCTGGTAGGAGGCACGACAATTGGCGTGGAAGTCTGCCAGCCGGGACCTGGTGTCAGGAGAAGACCCAACAGAGAGAACGGTTTAGTCTGGCTGCCTTCCCGCCTTTTCTCCAGCAGAGCGGCTCCTGCCTGCAGGTTCCCAGGGCAGGAGGAAGCCAGGAAGATGGAGAGGAACATGGGAGAAACCAAGCCTTGAGGGACTTCAGGCTGGGAGCTCCTTGAGGGCAGGACTTCCTGGAGAGCCAGGTACACAGTTTAGGAACAGTGGGCTCTGAATGGATCTTCCAGTCAGAGGAACACAGACAGAAAGAACCTGGGGTGGATTTGCCAAGAATGCCTGGGACCAAGGAAGGAAAGCTAGGCTCTGCTTTCTGCTTGACCACAGTCCTGGGTGACCTTGCCCAAGGTCTTCAACACATCACTCTTCCTGCCTGCAAAATGCATACAATAATCCCTGCTCCAGCTACTCCCAGGATCCAGTTGAGGGTCAAAGGAGCCAGCCCCCAGACAGGTAAAAAAAGAGTCCGTCTAGGGTGAGACACCCATAGGCTTTCCTGACAGTCCTCTTCTGAACCAAGTCAGAGCAAAGCTTCCCCTGCTGTCCTTCCAACTGCCCCTTGGGCAGAATCAGCCCTTTCTTCCCCTGGTGATATAACCTGCTGTCACCCCTTCCTCTCTGTTGGCCCCCATAATACTGCTTCATAACTATGTGGGCACATCCCTCCTTGACTGTGAGTCACCTGAAGGCAAACAGATGCTCTCTGGCCAGGGTCTGTCTCCAGCACCTGATGTGGAAGGTCACATGGAGCCCAGAACACCCAAAGCTAACCCACCCTGGCACCCTGGCTACCATCAGCCTGGCCATCTCACCTCCCCACCTGCCATCACTTCCTACAGGTGAGTGCCCTTTGCCATGGGGTCTTCGTGTATCATACCATTTGTGTCTCACAGAAGCCCCAAGTAGAGAGGAATATGGTCTCATTCACTGGTATTTTCCCAATGATGGGCACACAGTAGGGCCTCAACAAATAGGTGCTCAGTGAGGAGACTGTGGTAGCTATAGGAAGGACCAAAATGCAGCCCTTGACTGCCTGCCCCCACTCTCTCCACGCCATAAGGCACCTCACAAAGTCATCCCGAAGGTTGCCCCAAGTTCAGCTCCCCTGGTCCTCCACCGGAACTCTGTCCCATCTGAGAAAGAAGCAGGCAGAGAGAGACCAGAGGTTGAGAGACCAGGACAGCCTGACAGGAACACTCTCAGAGCAGGCAGTTGCGTGTGTCCCACCATGGTACACATTCTGGTTTGTCCTGGGGACGGGGTTTGGGGGAGAGAGAGGAAGCTCTGCGGAGGAATTCAACCCCAACAATGCCTCATGTGTCCCAGACCCTGAAGCCCACAGAAGTGTGGGAGACAGAAGGTGATGAGCACCGAACTGACAGGGGACTGGGGTTCACACTTCAGCTGTGCCCCTAATTCACTGGATGACTCAGGCAAGTCCTTCCTTCTCAGGGACTCGGTTTCCTGGTTTACCAAATGAAATACAAAGTGCTCTCAGTAAAAGATATTTTCACAGTCTGGGAAGATGAAAAAGTTCTGGAGATGGAGGTGGTGATGGCTGCACAACATTGTGGATGTATTTAATGTCACTGAAAACCATACAGTCAAAAATGGTTAAAATGGTAAATTTTATGTAATGTATAACTTATCACAATAAAAATGATTTAAGAAAAGAAACTTACACATCCATCCATTTATCATTAAATCCTCACAAACACTGAGACCTGAACTCTGTGAGATCTCACCAGGATTGTTGTTACTATCCCACTTTATAGAGGAGGACGCTGAGACTCAGAGGAGCTAAATAAATTGCCCAAGATCATAGAGTTCCTGAGCAGTGGAGCCAGGGCCCCGCCCCAGAATGAACAACAGGGTGGATGCCCTTTCTGGGACAAAAGCCCCTGAAGGTCTTTCCAGAGCCAACATTCTGCGTCCCTGAAAACAGGAAGCCTGCAGGTGTCTTCCCCCTCCTTCCTACCCTCTATCTCCTCACCACCCAACACCGAAACAGGGAGAAACAGCATTTCTAACCAAGACTTCAGTCCCTGCAGAGTAAGACTCAGTCTTAAATGGTAAGAGCAGCGTCTGTCCAACCGCACACCCCACATGTGCGTGAAGACATTCTTGACAGTGTGAGTGTGGTGGCCTCTGCCTACCTCCTAGCCTCCAGAGACACAGACTTTAATAGGTAGAGGAGACCTGGAGGCAAGCAAAACAAAAGCTCTAGGCACCTGCTGTGGGCTGAGTCGCATCCTGACTCCCAGTACCATAATGGAACCTTACGTCGGAATGAGCTTTTTGCAGACGTGACCAAGACGAGGTCACAGCGGATTAGGGTGAGCCCTCCAGCCAATGACTAGTGTCCTTAAGAAGGGAGAAGAGACACAGACACAGTGAGAATACATGTGAAGATGGAGGCAGAGACTGAGCGACGCCCCTACAAGGCCAGGAAGGGCAAGGTCTGCAGGCAATACCAGCAGCTGAGAGAAAGGCACTGAGCAAATTCCTCCTTCAAGCCTTTGGGGAACACAACCCAGCTGACACCTTGATATGGGACTTCTGGCCTCCAGAACTGTGAGAGAATACATTTCCCTTTTAAGCTCCCAGCTTGTGGGACTTTGTTATGGCAGCCACAGGAGACTCGTACAGCCCTTCAGGGACTTCACTGTCTGCTTTGGCCAGATGCCTCCCTCCAAAAGGAGCCAAGGGGATGTGGTCAGGCCCCAACACTAAGGAGGGCTGGGCTGCAGGTGGGCAGCATGAAGCCAGAACCAAGCTCCTGCAGGGTGTGGGGCAAGGAAGGTGCTAGACAACAAGCAAAGCCACCACTTGTCATCTCCTCCCCACCAAGAGGCATTGAAATCATCTCTTAACCAAAGTACATGAGTACGTTCCAAAGCTATGTGATCACACTAGGGCCTGACTCCCTCCTAGTACCCCCGCAAGGCCTACCTGCAGTCCTCCCCCACAAAGCCTTTTCTGACCACCCCAGCTGTGTGGATTTCTCCCACCTCTGTATTCTAGCTACACACATGGTCTGGACCAGGCAATTTCATACTCAATTGTATAAAGACACCGATACTGTCCTATTTGGTCTCTCCAACTGGTACCTATTTTCCTAGAGTGTCAGACTTCACTGATTTCTTCATTCTTCCTCCAAACATGTATTGAGCCCCTGTCACGTGACTGACAGACAAGGCTGGGAAGGGCAATGTCAGAAAGGAAATCCCAGCTAATGGGGTCAGGGCAGAGTACCCACCAGCGATGGCCCAGAGCTTGATGAGAAGTCACGGTCGGCTCGCCCTCCGGTGGGAGCACGCTGCCCACTTCCCTTCTGCAAGGTTAGTTCTCCACTCATTGACACTGGGAACCTTGAGGATCTTGCCTGGCCCCACCATCCACAAAGCCCCTCAAAATGTCACTGGGCCCCACAGGCTGGAGAAGGTGCAAAGCATGAGCAAGGAGAATGTGACTGTCCACAAAGATAGGCCACTGGAGAAGAGATGATAGAAAAGGAACCTGGGAACTGGGAGGTTCTGTCTCACGGCCAGGCTCTATCACTCACTGGCTGTGACTTTGGGCAGGTCTGTCATGTCTCTGAGCTCAGTGTCCCCAGTTATCAAATAGGGTGAGTCATGCCTGCCAATCTCCACCCCCCCCCCATGGGGCTATGTAAGACAGCTGGGGAACTCAGAGGAGGCATCACCTTATCTTTCTTCTCTATCCAGACATCTTGTCCCCAGTACTGTGCCTGCCAAACACTGGCAAGTGCAAACAGGGAACAGGTTTTCCTGGGTCTGGGATAGAAGGAAAACTACCTGTTCAACCTGCCAAGGTAGGTCTGGTTCCCACACAAGGCAATGCGGGCATATCAGGAAGAAAAGACCCCCATGCCCTCTCCCTTACCACAAGGCTCCAGGGTCACCCTGCTGGTCCCAGGTGAACGATGGCTTTCCTACCCCACCATCACTCTCCATGCCACTCTGAGGACACAGGAAGAGGAACACCAGCCCCCAAAGCATACACAAGTCTCCTTTGCCAGACCCGTCTAATGCCATGGCCTACTTCCTTTAAGCAGGCCCTCCGGCTCCATTCAGAGCACAGGGAGGAGAGGAGGTAGGCCTGGGCGCAGCAGCCATCAGAGGGGCAGGTGAAGGGAAGGGCCACAGCTCAGCCTTCTGTTCCTCCATCTCTCCATTCTTAGTGTCAAAGTGATCTTGGCAAGAGAGAAAGCCAAATGGGGCCAGTTAGGGGGATGCTGTGTCCAAGTCTCCAGAAGGCCTTTGATTGCTCAGATTCTCTCTGCCCCTCAAGACAGGCTGATGGCCATGGCAGCCAGCTCCCTCTGTCAGCATCAAAGACCAAGTGACATCAATTTCCTTCAAGCTGGCGACACGCTAGACTCCAGCCACTATGTGAAGCAGCCACATAAGCGCTCCCTACCCAGCCCTGGAAGGCGCATTCTCCAAGGCAAATGTTATCCTTTTCATAGTGCACGGCTGCCAGCCAGCTGGGGCTCTCTGTGCCCTCTCCGGGCCTGATGCTGCTCCTCCCTGCAGACCCTGTGAGGTCGCCTCTGGACTCCATTCTCACACTGCTAAGAAGACTTCTCCTTGGCCCATCCCCATCACTTTGCAAATTTCCACCTTTAAGAACCCCCATAGGAAAGAGGGCATAAAAGAAAGCATGAGAAAAAGAGAGACAGACAGACAAAGAAAGGCACAGAGAGCCAGCAAAAGAGCAAATATGAACAAAGCCAAGTCCATCCCAGTGAGATCAAGTGAAGACTGCCAAATGAGCTCAGGGCGGCAGGTGGCTCTGTCCGAAAAACACAAACCCTCTCTGGGCTGGTTTCATTAGCAGCTGTAGCCTATTCAATCACACAGAAGCAGCAGGAGAGGCACAGAGAGACACTTGACCCCCAATTTGATTAAACGGTTGCCAGATTAAATATAGGATGTCCATTTAACTTGAATATCAGATAAACAA